CCCCAAAATATATAGTATATATATAAATAAATAACTATAAAAGTATAAATCGTAAATATTAAAAATATTTTTTCATAGTATATATAATATATAATAATATATTTAAGTCAAAAACTATTCAATATTGGACTCATTTCGAAGGTATTAACGAGACGATTATAATGATGTAACTTGTTAAAAAAAATGTATTTTAAACATGTTTTAATTGATATACGATTATGTATATTAATTTGATAAAGGTTTAAAATGAAATATTTAAAAGTGAAAGACGTAAAGTAAATTAATTAACTAATTATAGGGTTATAAAGTGTAAATTTAAAATTATAATTTTAAAAAAAAAATCGAATGAGTGTATGTGAGGGGGTGAGTGTATGTGACTAGAGGATGGGGTGAAAAAGTGATATAAAAGATATCTTGGTCATTTAGTATTTTAAAACTTTTGTTAAATTTGCTTTATAAGATAGTATAGATAAGGAAAATATCCAAAAAATTCAATTAAGTTTTTTATTCTAAATGGATTATTGAAATTTTTTATAAAAAATAATTAAATTTTCTCATTTTAAATTATTAAGTCTTTGAATTATTTTCTTATGAAAAAACTGTTGAATTTTTTTATTTTGAATTATCAAATCCTTGTACATTTTTTTGAATAAATAAATCGTCAAACTTTTAGAAATCAATTATATACATTCTTTTAACCAAAAAAATTACATAAACCAGTTTTACTGTTCTCAAATCTACGCATTACTACATCACTCCCCCTCGCTACTCCTCCTCGCTCCATTAGTGTATGTTATCTATATCGTTCCTTGTCGTCATTGGCCCCTGCCATCAATCTCCCTCTTTTTGATCTGTTTTTTTCCTTTCAATTCTTCCTCTTTTACAATAATTTAATAAAGCACGTATAAACACATAAAAAAGATGGAGAATTGAAAGAAAAAAAAACAATCAGAAAGAAATGATGTTGGTGGTAGGGGGTCAACAACGATGATGGATGATGATATAGAGAAGACGATGATGAGACGACGAAGGGTTTAAATGGCATAGAGTTTGAAACGATAAAACTGATTTAAGTTTTTTTACTTTAAAACTTTTCTAGTCGATCTTAAATAGTTTTTTAGATTAAAAGATGTAATTAACCAATTTTTAAAATTTGATAGTTTATTTATTTAAAAAAATAGGAAATTAATTATTCAAAATAAAAAAAATAGTGGTAGTTTTATTTAAAAAAATTAATAACTTAATCATTAAAAAAAATGACTAAATAATTCAAAATTAAAAAATTTGATGGGTCTTAAAATTTCCAAAAAAAAAAAACATGCCCACAAGGACGATATGTCATAATTGTAAGTTCCCCCAATTTTTGACCTTATTAAAATAGGCATATTGACTAATTGCTATTTCCATCCCGACTAGGTTTGGAAACCGGGCGGATATTGAGCGGGTAATGCACCCATGACCCCCGGTCCTCGTTTAAGCCCCCGTATCTGAACCTGCCTCGATTAATTCCCAACGGGTTTGGGGGAAGGAATCTCGGACGGGTCCAGATAACCCGTTGGGTACTCGTTTAGTAAAAATTATATATAAATAATGTATTTCAAAATTAAAATTATAATAAATCATCTCTAAATTAATTATACATAATGAATGTATACATATGTATTTATTTATACACACACCATACACATATATTAATTAAATTAAAAAATGTAATCAGGGTCGGAATAGGGACGGGTAATGCTATCCTCAAGCCCAACTCAACCCCGCTTCAGGTATGAAAATAAATCTATGTTACCCGCAAAAGCGGGGATTCCCCGACCCTAACCCGCCGGTATCCGCCCCTACTGTAAAATTTCCATCTCTAGTCCCGACTCCCTTAATCCAAATTTCCATCCTCAACCAAATTCGTAACCTGAAGTCATGTTCTCGAATTTGGGGAGAGAAAAAAAAAGTGAAGGGAAAAAAGAAAAGAAAAATAAATTTTTATGTGTGTTCTTGAAAGAAAAGGAAAATAAATGAAATAAAATAAATTTGCATGTTTTTGACATGAGAGAGAAAATGTGTCATTTTTACAAATATACTCTTTAAAAATATGTCATTTATTATGAAATGTTGGATAGTTTTATAATTTTAATAATGTTGCATCCGTATAAACTGTTTATCCAAACACTCAAAAGTGTTTATTATCGGTTGTAGACATAGGTTTGTAAAAGCAACATCATGAAGCAAAGAATAAGGCATCCCATTTAGAACCAATTATACACCGAATTCATAGATTAACCCAGCCTTATAATTAATTCTTGCATTTTAGTGATGATGAAACAACATTCAGAAGAAATATAACAAAAAAAACCGAGATTTGTTGGGATATGGAAACTTCAAGATGATTGCCATTCTTTCTTGATATCAAATGTGTAGTTCAACTCCAAGTAGCACTTGTTATCATCATCAACGAACTGCCAAATGTAAAAAAAAACACCCCAAAAAGGGTCTAGGAGTCGTAAAATGTATCAATTCAGTTATAATGCTAATTTAAACTCAACCCAACCCGATAAACCCAATATTTTTCTATACTATAGGTTTAATATTATTATTAAGTTCTTGATTAATATATGTACGTTATACCAACCTGTAATTAGTAGATTGCAATATGATGTATCGTTTCAACCCGACCAACCTAACCCAACTCACACAGTTTAGATTGGGTTGAGATTTTCCAAACCGCAAATATTGTGGTTGGGTTGTTTAAATGTCTTCAAACCGATCAACCCAACCCAACCCATGTGTAATACTACTGAATATGTCCAAAAAAATGGAACTTTTAAGTCGGTACCTTAGTTTTTGCTGAATATGATCCTCTAGCAAGTATGCCAGAAGGGGCAATATCTTCAGGAATTTGATGGGTATAGAGCTCATGTTGAGGACTGAAGGTGCCGATCATTTCTTTTGTTCTGTCAACTGTAAGGAATGTCATATAACGATAGAGACACTTGTGGGTGTATGTTACCACAAAATTGGGTTTATAGGATGCTACCAATAAATAAATATCTTAATAGACTGTTTTATACGACTTAATTTATAGAACCAAAAAATAAATTGTCATATCTTAAGTCGTTATAATAAGTTTATAGGACGCTTTTGTATGTCATAACAAATTTGTTAGGACACTTCTATACAAAAATGTCATATTAGCTATTTTATAGGATAATATTTGAAAAAGTGTCCTATAAAAAATGGGTTAACAGGACAATTTCTCAAAAGTGTCTTATAATATATCTAATGTGACGTTTTGTATTAAAAGTGTCCTTGTTAAAACGCCCAAATATGCATACAAACTTATTACAACGTCTTTGGATAGGACTATGAATTAAGTGTGATAATTAAATTAATCTATTAAGACGCTTATTTATTGGTGGCGTCTTGTAAATCCAGTTTTGTTACATTAGTAATTAACACATACAGACAGTGTGATTTGCCAAGAGGGTTTCATACCTTTCAAACCAGTTTTCCAGACTGTGTTGGTGTACTTGAGACCGGATACAATGTTGTTGTGAACTTGGAAAGTGAATTTGATCGTGTAACGACTCCCTTCTTTTAGCGTAAACCACGTTCCTTTGATTTTTCCGTTATCAGGGATCGGAAGAACCAAATTCGGTCTACCAGGAGATACAATAGCAAGGCTCAAAATCTTGACTTCTGGATCTAGAGTTTCTACAATAATAACAACATCATATCAATAAACATCGTTACAAACAATAAAAAACCGTAACAAACATCTTTATTTTACTTAAAAGTTACCCGCAACAGTGTTAATATCGACAGCTCCAAGCAGTTGTTCTTTCCACCTCATCAAGCTCTCGTCATCCTAGACATTACTAGAACTCCTTGTTAGTCCTTGATAGGCTGATACTAAACGGAAGACTTTTACCTACAGATGTTTCCCTGGGAAATCTGTCGTTAAATGGGTGATTAGTCACAAAAGTTGGTGGGAAACCCAAATCAGCGAGAGATTGCCCAGGGATTTTCTAGGTGACTTGTTGGTATTTTCTTGAAAAACATCAGATTCTACCGAACCATTGCATTTTCTGGATAATCCGTCGGGTAAAAGTCATTTCTTTTGTAGGATAACATCGTTCAATACGGAAACATGATAAAAAAAGAAAAGGAAACAAACCTTATCCGCTTCGTATTGTTCTTTAAGAGTGCGACGAGGGCCGATTTGTAACTTCCCTTGAACATCTTCTTCGTCTTCATCTTCTGTGGCACATACGGAACTCTCGCTCATATTCCTATTAATCTTTGGTGGCGCCCCACCGGAATCTTCGACCTCCGAGTCTGCTCCCGAGTTTTCGATGTTTCTATCTTTATGTTCATCACTCTCCTTTCTTTCAACAAATCCCATGTTTTTTGAAACTCGAAGCAATATATACCATGAACACCTAATCAGAAAATGAGTTCAACAATTGATGGGTGTTTCACAATTAATGGGAAAGCCCACAAATGCAAGAAAATAATGACAATCATGAAGCTACAAATAGAGTAATACATGTGTTTATAGGTGCATAAACATGGGTGGTGAACCCCAAGCTCATTCACATTAAAAATACTAAACTTGGAATATTTAAAAGATTCCAGTGGCATACGATCTTCACTTTTGAGTGACCTTTTAAGAGGTCAAAGACTACGATATTGTTAAGTCAAATACCCTTTAATGTGTATTTTTAGTGTTGAGTTGGAGATACTGCAAAATAGTCAATCTTCTCACTAAACTCTGTTTAATGAATTCCTATTTTAACCAGAGTTGACGTAGATGTCTTGTGTATTTGTGTAAACTCGATTTTCGGATTAAAAAACAAAGAATTTTGCTTTGTTTTTTTTTTTTTTCAAAAATCAGTCTTTGCAAATATGTGTAAAACGTATGTGTAAAGACTGATTATTTTGAAAAGATATTTAAAAAATAAATATAATTGATGGGATTAAATGAATAATAAATGGAGAGAGATCATGAAGGCCACTAAGTTGCACTATCTTCCATGAATATGAGGCCATGATTTGAGGGGAACTTCAATACATGAGTGATGAGACTACCAACCTACCATTGAGTTGATTATTATATACCAAATATACCCTTTTGACTTTTTCTATTTGTCCATGAACCTGAGTGGATATACATTATAATAAAATTGATTTCATAAGGAGACGTCATAAAAGAATATTTTATAGGACGTAAGTTTATTAGACCAGATCAAAAAACGTCATATCTAAACGTTTTACAGTAGGTTTGTAGGACATTTTTACGCGTTCTAACAAAAAATTTAGAACGTTTTTAGAATGAAGTGTCATATCAACTATTATATATGACGTTATTTGAAAAGTGTCATATAAACACAAATATCCTATAAAGAGATAGTTTATAGGACACTTATCAGATGTGTCCTATAAAATAGCTAATATGACATATTATTTTGAAAGCGTCGTAAAAAACTTGTTAAAACGTTTAAAAACGTCTTATAAACCTATTGTTATGCTTTTAGATATAATGTGTTATAGTTTGGTCTTAAACGTCTTATAAACCCATTGTTAAAACAGTATTTTATTATGACGATTAGACAATTTAGGCTTCCTATAAAGCCAATTATGTTTTAATAATAGCTCAGAACATCTCCAACAAATTCTCTAAAATATAAAAAGAAAAAAAAAAGGGTTTTGTTTTCTTTATATTGCTCCAACAGATTTTATATAATTTTTCTCTAAAATAGAGAAAACATGAAAAACACCACGTTTAGAGAATTTTTTAAAACTTGAAAAAAAAAGAGATTATTATTTTATTTAATCCCACCAATAGGATTGAATTATTATTATTTTATATAAAGTTTTTTTTAAAAGTGTACTACGATGATAAAATTAAAGGATATTATAATAATAAAATTTATGTTTAAATTTCTAAAATAAAGAATTTGTTGGAGTTGAATGTAATTACTTTTAGAGGTTTTAACTTTTGTTTTTCCATTTGTAAAAAAATATGTTCAAGATGCTCTTACAATTCCTCCAAGGCGGCAAATAACATCAAAGAGGAAACATGAATTAACAATCTTCACTTTGTCTTTGACCATCATTAGCAATCAAGTATTTTGTGCGTAGAAGATTATCTACTTTATTCTTTTAAAGAGGAAAATAGAAGCTTGAATACTTGGATATCATTAACAGCAACATTTACCTTTTTACACTGTTTATGCTTTCTCTGGTTGGCTAGATGTAACCAAAATAGCATCTACATCGTATTCTTTCCACCAAAATAGCCATTTATGGCAAGAAATTGAGAAATTAACCACTTCTTCAATGTTTATAAAAAAAAGGCTATACATTTCGCCAATTTGAGAAATTATAATTTTGGGTATTTAACTACTTTACAAGACTTTATTATCTAGTGTGCTTTTGAATACATTTTAAATTTAAATGAAACTGTATTTAAATATTCTACTCCAACAATATATCGACATGGGCCCTATTTAAATATTCTACTGCAACAGATTTTACAAAAGTTTTAAAATGAAAATCAAACTTCAAAATCTATACTATATTAAAAGTATTTGATAAAAACTCTTAAAAACCATATTTTATTGATGTATATTACTTTAAATTCAATGTTACAAATAAATACAACTTATTGAATTCGTGTAACCAATTATAGATAAATATAATTAATATAGTATAACCTTCTCATTTAAATATAAAATTTAAAATATAATTAAAATAATTATTGAGTTCTAACAAAATATTTTGTTATTATTTTTATAAAATAATCATATTATTAAACCAAAACAAATTATTTTCTTATTAAACCTAAATTAAATTATAATAAAAAATTGAATTAGAAAAATTATACAAAAAATGAAAAGTTTTATATATTTTTTTTAATTTTTATGATGTATTCAAATTTATATTTTATTTAAAAAACAATATTGTTTTTACTCAAAACTATATAAAGTCGCATTATAACACCAAAAAAACAAAACAAAACAAAACATTAAAATCAAAACATATATCTCGCAAGTATCAAAATCATTAAAAAAAAAAAACAAAATGAATGTCATATTGAAGATAGCAAAATGATCATTTTTTCTAGTGTAATTTGTTACTTCAAAAAAAATTCATTGATTTTCTAAAAAGAAAATTAAGGAGAAATATTTGTATGTCTAAGAAATATGATTATAACCACCTCTTTAAACATCTCAAAATTTATATTGTATTTTTCAAAATTTATCGCTTTTTAATAGGATAAGAAATATATCGATGCTAAATTTCTTGAATATAAAGGTTTTTTTAGGAGTTGGACAGTTATTTTCTTTAAAAAATAAAACCAAATATAATAATGATTAGACGAAGGATCATGTGAAAATAGAAATTAAATGTGAAAAATATAAGAAGAAATTTGGACTCTTGATCATTTTTTATCTCAAACCAACCTATGATCATTATTGATCTAGTGTTTTTCTTTGGTTATAATTAATTTAACGATAGAGATTTCTTCTTATCCTTGTCATCATAACTTTCATTCTCAGAAGAAACCAACTCAAAGGCTACATGTATAAAACCATTTCAACAAGTTTAGCAAGAAAGAACGATTGTATTAAAATGCAAAGCTCTTATATACATCCTTATGTGCCAAAGCCTATGCATATGCCTTTTCAAACCACTTCATATCTTAAGATCCTAAATTCTTCTAGTAAAACCTAAAAGCAGGACTGTCCAAAATGACCAGCCCTTCTATAAAATACAGATTTGGAACAAAAACCCCCCCACTCTACATTAACTTGTCATGATGCATATAGCTACAAATTTTGATTATAACCCATGTAATTAAATGGCTTCATTAACCCAAAACAGTGTTTCTGATTGATCAAAACAACACATTGAGTGTGGCTTACACTAGAACTGACTCATCTTTCATGGGGGATCTCTTGAAAAAGTTGAGTTGTGCTTGTTTGGTTCGTTTAACAGCAACTGCGAAAGATAATCGGTTAACTGAGATTTGGCCAAAAACCCCCAAAATATGATAAGAGATTAAAAGATTGAAAGAGAGGTTGTAGTTACCTTTTTCCTTGTTTTGCTTATTAGATTCCACTACGGTAGACTTCCATTCCTCGTAGTTGTGGCTCTCTTGGCGTTTACGCTTCTTGTAGGCTGAAAGCTGCAACATATTACAAAAAAAAAAAGATAGGAATTAGTTTGGAAACATTTATTGGTATGACTTATAAATGATGCCAAAGAAATGAACCAACATGATTGGATATTATAGTTGCAGTTGTGTTATTAAGAGACGCTGATAGTTTTAGAATGCAAAAGTAACCCCAGAAGATTCTCTAAACGACACAAGAGATCAGCCAGTGTAAAAGTGAAACAAATAAGTTGAAATTGGTTCTAGGTGCAGTAAGAACTATATAGTAGACATAAGCACTGCACAATTTTGTAACTGTTCCATTAGAATTTGCAAAGCATCTGTTTAGGTTAAGATCTTCAAATCATCAAGTACAAGTGCAGATGAACTATTTATCAAGGACTGTAATGCATGGTGACTAAAATCACAAAGTGGACATAGTGTGTAAAAAAAACAAATGGCAAACACTAATGATTCTGTAATGATTTGCCCTCCAAAGTGAACATAGTGTGTAAAAAAGCTAAATGGCAATCACTAATGAATCTGTAATGATCTGCTGAAATGATAGCAGAAACATTCAGCATGAATTAACTTGTCAAGTTTAATGAAGATTCAAGCAGCTCTAAAACATGTTACAATCAGGATGCATAAACTCGAAATAATGGAGAAAAGTTATACATCTTTTCCTTCATCAGACGAATAACCACCATCCTCGGCTTGCCTCTTCTCAGGTAACGCATCCAACAAGTCTGCAAAATAAGGTTTGAGATCATAGATGTAAAAAAGTTTCAAGTTGCTTGCATTCTATTATGGAAGTAATCACTAGGGCACAACATGAAAATGGCAACAAATGGAAGATTACAAGTTGATAGTAAACGTGATTTTACCTCTATTCACTTTCATAGACTTTGGATCTTTCTTTTCCTTTGACACCCCAAAAACATCATGACAAAGGTCCTTCATGGAGGTAGAAACCTGCATTGATTCCAGCAATAGGATTATATACAAAAATCTCTATATGTGTAATAAATGTTATGGGACACTAGAATTGCTTCTTACACTAGAAAATTCATCTTCAGATGTGCCAGAAAGTTCAATCAACTTATTCTTGTCTACCTTGAGCTGTAGAAGGAGCCAAATTAGAGTTAGAAAAAACAGCTACCACAATCAAACCAATACACTTGTGTTTCCAAAAACTTCCAACTTCTACATACAGAAAAAAACTTGAGCTGAGCATACCTTATGCTTTTTGGCACACAAGTAAAATCCTGTGGCGGTAAAAACAGGCCTTGAACAGTCAGCACTAGCTCGACGGGAAGCTGGTAAGGATGCAATAAACCGCTCCCTGTATCTGAAATTGGATCACATTTAGGCATGCAAGAATCTCAGGTAACACATACCAATTAATCAACAATCATTCAAAAACCTAAGTTAGGCTTCACAAACTAGAAAAACAATCTTGAGGCATTATCAATTGCAGATATGAAGTATGAACTCTATCCAGCTTAACAAACAAGCCACTTATTAATCCACACCTTGTTTCCTTTTCAGGTCAAGATTTTCACATGGCACCAGATGGACATGAGCAACATACCATGGTTGTAAAATGATAGATATGTTCATGAAACAAAGAGAAAAAAGAACTTACAGTGATAAACCTTTCTGAACAAGCGGGATAAGCCTAACACATCCAAATTGAATAGCCAATTCCCTAATGTCGAGCCTATTCCTACAATTCATCACAATTGAAAAATCAATGTCTAGTCCAACACAAATCTATTGCACTCCGTTAAGCATTTGCTTGGAATAAAAAGTGTGATGAAGATATACGTAAAAAAACAAGGAGAAACATACTTCACACCAATCCCGTTCTGCATCACGTTGAATGATCTAATGTAAGCCTTCTCTGACATCCCACTCAATCTTATCGCAGTCTGGCGATCAAATAGAACTTGCTTCCTACAGTTACAGGAATTGATAATCGCATTGAACAAGGTTGAAAAAAATATAACGACACATATACGTCCATATATAAAATCATGTTTGTGCCTATCTATTTTCCGGTAATTTTGAAACGAACAAATGCATATCAACAATCAATCGAAAAATAAATTAAATGAGAGAACAGTGCCACTTTCCTAACAATAATCATTTAGAAAGTAGAAGCGTACATGTTAGCAGCAATCTCCAGGCAGATAACGGCTTTGCAAACCTCTCCCTGAAATCATCAAATCGAAACATCGAGGCAAAATTAGGCCTAACAAATCAACCAATACAAGTGAAGTCCACAGTAAATGAAGAAACAATACAACAGTAGCGAAGTACTTACGATTCCGGCATTGGATGAATCAAATTGAAGATCTGACATTCGACGGAGTTCAGCGGCTTTACGGACGACTTGCTTCAACTCCGAAAGCCCTAGCTTCTTTGCAATCTCCGACAAATCCATTTTCAAAAGAGAGAGAGAGAGAGAGAGATGCAATCGATTTTCGTCTTCTGCAATTGCTATTGCGAGCTATGGAGGATGATATCGACGAGCAACCATGGCGGGAATATCAGATCTCATTGTTTATCAAATTTTCGTTTGGCGCCACTTCTGAAAAACCAGAGGACGCCATTTTTCTTTTTCTAGGTTTCCAATTTTTATTTTTAGCACCAAATGGTCGACATGAATTTTCAATTAGACCCCCCAAACATTGCTATAATAACAAAAGAGCCCTATTGTGTTGGTGTATGTAAATTAACTAGTGTTGAGCACAGTTTTTTTTGTTTGTTTAATACTACTATATAAGAAAATTGTTTGTTTTGATAATTGTTCTTGTATTATTTTTCTTCCTCTCGTTTTAATGAATTATTTAATATATATAGGGAATATTGCAAATGCAACCATGTTCATTTGTACAACCAATGCAATTCAATCAATTGAGATATTTATAGAAATGATGAGAGTTTGTTTATTATGATTTGAATATTTATTGAAGATGACTACGGTTCATTAATTATGATCAATACTTTACATTATGAAACAATCAAAACTTTTATGAAATCACATATTCATTAAATTAAATGGACGGTTGAGATTAAGTTGTATTGGTTGTACAAATGTAAATGATTGCATAATAACTCTCTCTCTCTCTCTCTATATATATATATACACACACACACACACATATAAGTTTTTTTTTTTTTTTTATATCTTATAATTAAAAAACTATAGTTATAACATAAGGGGGGAGAAAGTTTTTTTTTTTTTTTTTTGATAGTTGTTCTTCCCGAATTTGGAGTATCCTACTTTCACACAATCCACAATGGCAATTCCGCCAAGATCTCTTCGTTAGTTGGGAGAATAATCTGTCCAAATCGGATTTTTTGAGAAACATATCGAGAGAAAATTTGATTGTAGACCATCCACATCGAGGGGTGAAGGAAGGGCCCCAATTTTTAAAGAATTATAGGTGGTGGAAGGCCCGGGATTTGTGTTGAGAGAGTGCATCTCTAAATTGGATCAAATGGCTGCAAATATGGTCAATGTGTTTTTAGTCAGGTTCCGCCTTGGGATATTTTTTTAGCTTTTTGGTTGATCACGAGGTATTTATTTAAATTTTCTGGTTGATTTCAAGATAAATTTTTAAGTTTTTTGAATGATTTTAGGAGGTATTTTGGTAAAGATTAATATAAACACTCAAAACGAACAAATAAATTGTATAAGCAAATAAATGAAATCACGTTATACGATTATGTAAACATAATTGCATAATATTATGACTCATCGGCTTAGAGCAACAATTAATATAAACGATAGGGCAAATGACTAATATCGATTTCAAGGCAAATAAATAAATCATTTAAGTTTAAATATAACTCATAATTGTATAACATTGTAAATTTATAACCGATCAATTTAGGGAAAGAATTGATATAAAATTTAGGTCAAAATTTTAAATTTAAGTTAGGTTTTGGAAGAAAACCTGAACGAGAGATTGCGAGGGCAGTTAAATGAGTGTGAGCCGGTGAAAGCCGAAGGGAATAACTGGCCGGAGAAGTTGATTGGCGTCCGTGCGAGTTGTCAAAGTGTTGAGTGTCGGGCCGAACAACTATGCAAGCTTAAGGCAGCTAGGCATGAGAATGGGGCAGGGACCTCAATCCCCATCCTCATCCCTGATTATTTATCTCTATCCCCGTCCCTGTCCTCATACCCGCCGAATAATATAATCACACCCCATCCGTTTATGTAAGTTGTTTTAAATTAAATATATGAGAGACCATACATATTTAAATCTCAAACATTTTTAATAAACCTAAACCAAAATTAATTTAATTTAATACAAAAAAACCGCAACATCATATAAGAATTGAAAACTTAAAACAAAAACAAAAAATCAATTTAATAAAAAAAAACTTAAAATCACATGTACCAAAAGATATTGAGTAATATTTAACATATCGAGTAATATCCAAAACTTATCGAGTAATTATATTTTGACTTGACATCCAAAATATTACATATTAACATCCAAAAAATAATAATTTTATATCATAAACCTAGTTAGGAAACAGGAACGTATGAATTAGTGAATTTAGTTGAAATAAATAATATATATATATATATATATATAATTTATTAATCAATATATATAACGGGTATGAGGTAGGACGGGGAGTACGATACCCATCCCCGTCCCCGTCCCTATCCCCATACCCGGTTTGAGACAAGTGGAGATCTCCGTCCCCGTTTCCGTCCTCAATTTAATAGGGAATCCCCGTTCCCGATCGAGACGGATGGACCGGGTTCCCCAACGAATCGGGACCCAGTCCCATGCCAAAAGGCAGCTTTTGTGTTTTAAAATCTTTAAAACCTCGTCCATATAATTTGTATTTGATTGTTTTTTAATTTTGTTTTTATTTACACTGTTGGTCCTTCAAGAGAATAAAATTCAAACACTTTTCAGCAAGTGCACAATTAGCCCTTGGATTTCTCAAATACATCATACCAAAAAAATTCCTTAGATAACTGACTTGAACAGGTATACGGGACCTAAAATAGGTTTGCCCCTGTATATAAGCCCAAATCTATTCATATACACGAAAACACATGTATACGAATTTTGGGTTGTTTTCACGTATACGATTTTTGGGTTGTGTTAGTCACGAAGAGGAAAAGAAAATTCGGGTTATGGGTCTTAGTTACATGATCTTAGTAATGATATAACAATCAATCATATAAAAGGTATGATATAGTAACCATACAAAATAAAGAACAAAGAAAATTGACAAATCCATAGATTATTCGTTTTTTTGTTGATATACAGGGGGAGGCTCCTCCTATCAAAAAAAAAAAAAACCAAAAATGCTAAAAGCAACAGATTAAGCACTCGGATAAGGGCGAACCACATCCACCAAAAATAAACCAAGGCTCCTCGAAGGGAAAGGAAGGAAGAAAACAAGGGGAGATGAGAGAAAGACCAACCACTAAAGAATGTTCCAGCCAAGCCGAGCGCGAACAACATTCAGGGAGGGCTTTATGGTCGGGTTATGAAGTATGAACAAGACATCATCAGTAATAGTCTTGACCACCATATCATGAGATCTTCTCTTATAGATTATTCGTTTATTGGGCATCTCTAATGGATGACATCAAAATTTTCATAAAATGGTGTAAATAAATTTAATTTATTGGATTTTCATAAATACCTTATATCTATTAACTTCGAGATTTAGGGGCCGTTTACCAACACTTATCCGGTAAGTGTCTTACCGGGTAAGATTATTGGTCCTTAACATATTCATCCGGTGAGGTAATGTTACTTTGTAAGCGCTTATCCGGATAAACGTTTGGTAAACGGCCTCTTATACCAATGTTTTTTTTTATTTTAACAATATCTTAATAAGTTTTATTATAAATTATGAATTAAATAATTTCAATATATATAACAAACATTTCATTAAATAATAAAAATTACATAAAAGTACAAAATAATACAAAGTTATCCTGGAAAGAAAAACATACAGATAACTTTTAAATTATAATATAGTTTACAATAATAATATAAATAATTTATAATATATAATAAATAAATACTATTAAAGCTTTAATACTTCAATTAAAAAAATCTTAAAATTAAGGGGACAAAAATATAATTGTAAAAGTAATGAAAACTTGGTGTAAACGAATAGTTTTATACCAAATTTGATATAAAATATAGTTTGCCTCTTAAACATGAAATAGTATAACAAATAGTATTTGATGTAAAATTTGGTGACCCATTGAAAATACTCTTATCAAAAAGGTTGTTTGTTTACCTCTTAATAGTTCAATTAAGAGACAGTCTCTGAATCGTTAAAAGGTGAATCTCGTTTGGCAAAAAAAAAAAAGTCGGTCTCTTAACGGTTCTAAAACTCTCTAAATAATTTTGCGTCCTGATTAAACGTCCTAATTTCATTGTAAACAATCACCAAACAATAATATTTCATTTTGCACTATATCATAAGAGCCTCTTAATCATTCTGACCACTTAATAATTCAACACCAAACCATTCAGCAACTGTCAAACAGTAGGTTGTGTTATAGTTTAATATGTTGCACATATAGAGATATCACGAGTTTATTAGCTCAATGATGTGCTTGGAGAAAAAAGTTCAGAAAAATAGCGCATAACTTCATATGTTTTATGAAAGAGTAGAAAATGACACAAATCCATGTAAATAGTGACGCGTTCAAATAAGAAGGTTAAATATCATGAGAGGTAAAAATAAAAAGTTCATACATGAATCATTAAAAAAACTCATTTTATAATGTGATGCATATGTAAACCTATATGAATAATCTGTAACTTTGATTCATATGTGCATCTTCAAATAGATTTTTTTTTATTTTCCAATGATTCATATATCAACTTTCCTTTTTATGATATTTAACTTTCTTATTTAAACTAACCATGTATCATAATTAAAAAACCAAACCAAACTAACCGAATTGAACATTGGAAAATATCATTAAAAGATGCAAGTTAATGATAATCCCCCCCTTTTCATCTTACTATACACAAAGTAGAAATTAAAAACAGATCGTTTTAAATAAATTCCAACCACTTGGAAGAACAAATTTCAGACACATGTTTCAAATGACTAGAAACTGATAATACAAGATAAATTTATCAAAGTATCATATGAGTTTTAACTTAATTTCTATGCTTCATGCTGGGTGCAGATTGTGTTTGGGCTGAGGCAACCTCATTAAAAACCATACCATCCATTCTTCTAAATTAGGAAGAAGACAACTGGTTGAACAACATAAGAATTGATGCCATATACTACAAAGATGTCTGCATCGATCCTTCCTCGGTGTCGTTGCCTTCAACTAGCTGCAAATCCAGGCAATCACATTATGGGGCTGTTTGGTTGATTTTTCATTAAGTTCTTTATGAATAAAGCTGTCTGTGTGGATTAATGCGTCTGAATAGATTGAGAAAAGTTTGTCTGGAAGGGTTTTTTTAATATACAGACGAAGTGTGTTTTTAGTTGGGAGGAGCATGTTTGCAACAAAAACTTGGCTTTCTACATAAAGCTCCCCCTAGAAACTTACTGAACAATCTATATCATTAAGCAAATACCAAACAGTCATCTATAGCTGACTCATTAAATTCCTCCTGATTTATTAGAACTAATAGAATTCCATTAATAAGCAGCGAGTCTCATTAAGCTGATTAAGCTACTAACAGACAAACCATATGTCTAATAAACTGGGCTGGTAGGCATTAGTTTTCAAGAGATTTGGGTCTCTTCAATTTGTTACTGAAATTAGAAAGTTGACCCTTAAGATTGCCTAAATTTCATGTTATCTGGTTCGCTTCGTCCAGAGATGCCAACAACAAACAATTTCTTATCTTGCTTATAAGTTGTTAAAGTAAATTGTTGTATTGCAAGAGGGAGAAAAAGAGGCACGTACCAGGGAGCCAATTTGCTCGTAAGCACCCATTACTTTAGGATCTTCCTCCTCCTCGTACCCGATTTGGAGTATCCGTGGTCCATTCACTGACCAAAATGCCCTTCGACCTGCCCCCTGTTAAGGTCGCAAGCAAAGAAGAGATGTGTAAGTTCCCATAAATAAACCAAAATTACCACACAATTAACAAAGGGAATGTAAGGACCTGTAATACGATCAAGTAAATAGCCTCCAATGCTTGGATGCGGATTTCAGGATCGACAACTGATTCACGCTCAATTGAGAGTGCACTTCCTAATTCAAGAGGCATTTTTGAAGTATCTTGTTCATTATACACCTGATGCATGAAATCCACAAATATTATAACTTCTTAAATGTAAATGTTTTACAGAAATGAGAAATTGAAACGTATTACTCTAATGAAATTGGTTACACGAAACACATATTTATATTAAACTAGAACAAAGGGTAATTACATTAACACCCTTAAACTATAATGCTCTAATAAAGTGCAAGTGATAAATAGATTCTCCATAGACATGATTGCCTAAGTAAAACAGGAATGCAATACTGATCTATGTCGAATACTGATATCAATACTAGTTCTTTACTTCACTCGTTGGCCTGGAACCGATTTTATGCATTTGAATAACCCGTATATCTAAAAGAAATTAACTGGTGATATGTAAGTAAGCGTTTGAGCAGTTTAAAACTGCTTCTAAATCATATGAGACTGAATCCAGCTTTTAAATCACATATAGACTTTAATTTTATGCTCAAATTTGTTCAAAATTTCATTTGAATCTGTGTCATTGACATTAAATGAATATAAAAGAATAGAGATTTGGGATATCACCTTGTTTCCAGCAACTGGTAGTAGTAGAGCTGGCCAAAGAAACTCTGATATCAAAAGCAAATTCTGTAGCTGATTGTCAGCTTCAAAACAGCAGTTCCGAATAGTTCCAGATACCTATGAGGGAAAGGGTTCAGATGATAATGTTCAATACCTGTAGAATCTCAAAGTTATAAAAGTGTACAGCATACATGGCAGCATGAAAGCTATGTTCCTCTAATGCAGGTTTTACTTGTTCGTATAGGCTATTCAAATATTTTGTTTGTGAAATACGAGGTTAAGAAGATTTGGCTTCTATTATTGTGAATCTTCCTTAGTTCCTTGTAATAGAAGTTATTCTTGAATTTGCTGATTAATTACATCTGGGGGTAAATTTCATTTATGTGGCCTCATTCTGAAACATGTGGAACCTCCTAGATCAAACATCAACATTGCATTGAAGAGTATTATTGCACATACCCCTTTCTTCCGCAATAGGCTTGTGGAATCAAACTGCCTAATGATCTGTTTCAAGAGCCCACGCTTAGGGTCTAAAAGAAGTACTCTCCCTGCTTTGTTTTTTGAAACATTTACGAGTATCGAACCAACATGTCCAAATGGATCATCTGCTCAAATGTAATAGAAGATGAAGTCAGTATGGCAATTGTCGACTGCAACAACTTTGAAAGCCAAAAATGGATATGTTCTGTGTTCATGCACAAAAACTGCTAGAAATATAGGATATTTTATGCCTTTCCTATATGCAGTTATTCCTTAGTGATTCATTACTTTGTACTTGTACACAGCTTGATCGATAAAAGATACACACTTCTCGAACCCCATTTTACATAGTTTCAGAACCAATTTTGTACCAAAACCACTTTTGTGGAAACACGTAGCATTAAGAAAAACAGTATACAATATTTGAAACAGCTAACCAATCACTCGGATCAGATTAATGCCTTTTGGCATTTTGCAAGCTCAGATGTGATAGTTTTTTTTAGAAAAGAAGGAACTCTACGGTGTCAAAACTCGTTTGAAATACAGATATGGAGTATGCACAACAACAATAATTTCTAAACAAGCAAGATGATATAAGACGGAGATATCCAAAGGTGGACCTTTTTTCTCATTGGATGATGTGCAGAATGATCTCACAAGTTTCATGACATACAACCCCTGCACCTTATCATCTTCCAGCTAGAAATGTTCAAAACAGACCATTAATAAATAATGCATATACGAGGAGCAGCCCAGATGAAAAGAAATAAATGAAATGAAAACGAGAGGAAGAAAGGAAGGTGCAAGTATCGGTGAACATGCATGTTCTGGAAGGACCACCTCAACTATTTTTATTCCCATTTCAAACATCTTATGGGACTTCATGACAAGCTAAGAGAGTTGTGGCATGGGGAAATAACCTGAAGCAATGATTCAACACCAGCATCCAGTTGTGTAAGATTAACAAGGAGCATGACCAGTAGTCCCGTGATGTCACATCCTTGTTTGTATAGAATATCCATGGTCACTTTAATTATACCCATTTCAATCATCTTAGCTGCCAAATCAGAATTTTGGGACAGATTCACGAGAGCTTCTGTTGCTGGTTCAGAGACATCCTGAAATATGATCATTGAAGCTAAGCCACGATATGAAAAGAGAGAGTGACAACATGACATGTAGGATCCCCTTCAATTAACTTCTTCAAACACTGTATTAATATTACTTCAATTAGGAGCAAGTACAACAGAATAATGGGATGGGTTCTTTCTATAGATTGCATGTGTTCTAGATCATGAGGCATGTCCCAATTCCAATGGAATTGCTTGGGTGGTAGTACCATACCTCTTAGGTGTATTCTTTATTTCTTTAATTTTGTTTTAATAAAATTTGTCAGAGGTCCACTGCCGATAGGATAGTTCTTGACAAGCTATTACCAACCACAACTTAATGTAAGTTAGAAAAAATGAAAGAGAACATTGACACTCTTGGAATGAAAAAGGCAAAACCATGTTACACGTCCAATCTTTGGCACTTATAGTATACCAAACAAAAAAACAGCAAAGACAAGTATGCGCCACCCAACCAAGATACAAACATAAACCAAAAGACCTTCTGTTCACATCTTCTTCAGTGTTGATGCCCAAGATATTCCCCTTTTCAATGTAACAGTATGAAACTCTATCGTAGCAGTCATCTAATCGAGAATACCAGCAAAAGTGCAGGAGCATAGCACTGAGACAATAATCATTTTTCGTTAATTGTTTAATTGGTGAGAAGGGAGGAGGCAAGACTCAAACAAAACTATATATTGGAAAAGGAGATGGTGATATGCTCTAATGTTAAAAGCAAATGGTTAAATCACAGTATGCTTTCTTTTTCATTCTTTATCTTCTAGCATCTAAATTTTATGATTTCACATGTGGATGATTGCAAAATAAGTAAGCATCCAAATCAAACTTTATAACGTCGTTACCACATAGAATGCAGGTAACTAAAACCATCAAAGAGAAGTTCGTATCAAATTAAAGGGATGAACAATTTATCAACCGCTGATGAAATGGACTGACTTCCTAAAATCCTTGGTAAATCCCGAGTGTGAATCAATTTATCATCACAACACAAGACAGAGAAATATAATGATTGTTTGGTCTCCAAAACATAAACAATATAGCACCTTCTTTTCACCTAATAGTCGAGACAAGGATGGAAGCACGGTTTTAGAGTAACTAGCAAGAGATTGTAACCCATCCTCCGACCCAGTTAATCCACGAACAATATCAACAGCTACCTTCTTCACCTGATGAGTCCATATATAAAGGATTAAATCAAATAATGTTTCATATAATTGCGAAGCAGCTGGAGCTTTTGAGCAATAAAATAATGATAATTCCCTGTTTCAATTCACTAATTCAGATACAAACTACACATATTTGAAACACTGCACCTTCCTTACTTTCATGAAAATTACAGTAAAGTGGCACTTCATCAAATTGTTGATTCAAACTTTTTGTTTCAAAAAGTGATTATATTTCAATCAAATTGTAATCAATCACAAGAAAACATTGTACCCATAGACAACCCTCTAAATTAGGATCTTAAGACGGTATAGGTCACCTTTGGTGAATACCATCACAACTGTTACTGACTGGTTTTAATAAAATTTTACGATTGAAGTTTTCCAGTGAAAACAACTAGACTAAATTATAACCGCAGACAACAATAACAAAAACACTCAAGTCTGTGAATTAGGGTTTCAACAGCTAATAAGTGACTGAATCTAAAACAGAAACAACACCAGATCGAACTTACTTGTGGAGAAGGAGACGAGAGGAAACCAATTAGTTCTTCCATTTCGTTCGCCATTTCTGTTTTCAGAGCATTCAACGGAAAACCCCAGTTTCTTGTATTGGTTTAGCGCCGCCGAGCAGGGGGTTTCTTTTCCTGTTTGATTTTGTCAGTTGTGTTGCAGAATTAAGTTAAGGAAATTTACACGAACCGGTAACTTCATGCGGGTCATGGTGCGGAAAATAATATTTTTAATCTAAAGAATTTGTTATCTATACTATATTACAAAAACATTTGATAAAAAAAAAATTACAAACCATGTTTTATATATAAAGTACCGTTTATTGATGTATATTACTTAAAATTCAAGATTACAAGCAAATTATGTATAAGTACAATTTATTAAAGCTTCATGTTTGAATTCGTGTAACTAACTGCAGATAAATATCGTCAAATACAAGATAAATATTTTGTTTTAAATATAAAAAATCTAAAATATAATTAAAATAATCATTGAGTTCTAACAAATTACTTAATATTATCCTTATAAAAAATTATTAAATCAAAAATAAATTATTTCTTTATTAAATCTAAATTAAATTATAATAAAAAATTAAATTAAATAAATTACACAAAAAACAATAATTTTTAAATAGTTAATTTGATATTAATATTGATATATTTATTTTCAAATTTTGATAATATCTTCATATTTATATTTTATTCAAAAATAAAATCATTATTTCTTTCTTAAAACCACATAAAAACCGTATTAAAACATCTATAGAGACAGAATAAAACGAAACATTAAAATCGAGATACATCTCGTTGCATTGCCCGAGTATCCTTCTAGTTATCTTTTAAATATCAATTTATGCATTAATTAGTGGTTTATAGTTTTTACAACTTGTAATTGAAGAATAAAATGTAAATTTCATGTTTGAATAAAAATATGGTAAGAATGCTCAAAAACTATCCATTTTTTAATAAAAAAATTATCGAGTCCCGGAATATTTCAAAAAGGTATACCGATAGTAAAATGAAGCAAATCAATTGGACTCACATGTTCCATATAGAAACTATTTATGAAAAATCGAGTCGATTTATTCTAATGAAAAACAATATGGAACATTAATCTGAAAAATGTGGCTTCGTACTAAAAATATGACTACCACATATATCGATTTGATGTTTCACGATATTCCTCAATATAAAAACCTTTAATAATCAAATCTAAGAATGATAATAAATAAAAACCAATGCTCTAAAAGGTTCAACACGACAGCCGTCGTGACTCGAGGCTCATATATGACACGACATTAAAGCTTGTGGCTTGCATGGGTCAATATGCAATTTTGTAATATGGTATTTGATTTTTCTTACGTGTTTAGTTTTTTTTTTTTTAGTGAAGTAATGAATAAAAATATAAAGATGTACCTTGGTTTCTTGGACATCACAAAGTTCTTATATATGACAGAGGCCTACAAACAACCTCAAAAGGTATGTTGTTAATAATTATACCATAAACAATCAATCATAAAAATTCAAGCAAACATCAACTAAATAAGTTTGGGCATGGTTTGCGGGTAACAAATAAGTTAACTTATTTGTTACGTACATCTTTAGATAGACATAAGCTATCTTATTTATAAAAAATGTTATAATTTTTCAATTATAACATTGATTAATATTAATTATTATTTATTACTATTAATTAAAAATAAATATTAATACTAATAAAAATCATTAATGGCTGCTTATTGCTTCAAAGAGTTTTATGATGGAGGTCACACCTTAAGAGCCCAAATATACTGTTG